GTAGGTACAGTATGTGCTTGTACACACACGTGTGTGTAGTAGGTAGATGTGTGAACACACGTGTGTGTGTGTAGTAGTAGATCAGGTGTGTAAACACAGTGTGTGTAGTAGGTAGGTGTGTGTGAACACACGTGTGTGTGGGTGTTGAGTAGGTAGGTGTGTGAACACGCGTGTGTGTGTGTAGTAGGTACAGTATGTGCTTGTACACACACGTGTGTGTAGTAGGTAGATGTGTGAACACACGTGTGTGTGTAGTAGGTACAGTATGTGCTTGTACACTCACGTGGGTGTAGTAGGTAGGTGTGTGAACACACGTGTGTGTAGTAGTAGGTACAGTATGTGCTTGTACACACACGTGTGTGTAGTAGGTAGGTGTGTGAACACACGTGTGCACGTGTGTGTAAACACACGTGTGTGTATTGAGTAGGTAGGTGTGTGAACACACGTGCGTGTGTGTGTGTGTAGTAGGTACAGTATGTGCTTGTACACACACGTGTGTGTAGTAGGTAGGTGTGTGAACACACGTTTGTTTAGTAGGTATGTGTGTGAACACACGTGTGTGTGTGTAGTAGGTACAGTATGTGCTTGTACACACACGTGTGTGTTGAGTAGGTAGGTGTGTGAACACACACGTGTGTGTAGTAGGTACAGTATGTGCTTGTACACACACGTGTGTGTGTAGTAAGTAGGTGCGTGTACTCACGTGTGTGTGTGTAGTAGGTAGGTGTGTGTAGTAGGTAGGTGTGTGTAGTATGTAGGTGTATGTGTGTGTAGTATGTAGGTGTATGTGTGTGTAGTAGGTAGGTGTGCGTGTACACACGCGTGTGTGTGTGTAGTAGGAGGTAGGTTTGCGTGTACACACACACGTGTGTGTGTGTGTAGTAGGAGGTAGGTGTGTATGTGTAGTAGGAGGTAGGTGTGTATGTGTAGTAGGAGGTAGGTGTGTGTGTGTAGTAGGAGGTAGGGGTGTGTGTGTAGTAGGAGGTAGGTGTGCGTGTACACACACGTGTGTGTGTGTGTGTGTAGTAGGTGTGTGTGTGTAGTAGGAGGTAGGTGTGTGTGTGTAGTAGGAGGTAGGTGTGTGTGTGTAGTAGGAGGTAGGTGTGTGTGTGTAGTAGGAGGTAGGTGTGTGTGTGTGTGTAGTAGGAGGTAGGTGTGTGTGTGTGTGTAGTAGGAGGTAGGTGTGTGTGTGTAGTAGGAGGTAGGTGTGTGTGTGTAGTAGGAGGTAGGTGTGTGTGTGTAGTAGGAGGTAGGTGTGTGTACACGACGTTGGCAAACAGCTACAGACATACACTCGAGACCACGTGTAGAGAGAGAGTACAGCTCTGGGCTGTACTCCCTTTCTCCCTGTACAAGGCGAATGATTTGGTGATGCTGCTGCTTCTGCGTTGGTAGCGGTACACAAGCACAGACAACAACAATAAAAACCACCACCACTCAACACTTTGGCCTTGAAAGAAATAAAAAAATATCGGCGACGCATGATATGAAGGGGCATTGCCCGAAACGTCTCTGATTAATTATATAGTTACTGTGTATAGATATGTTATTTCAAGGCCCACAATTTTTTGTGGAATTCTTGTTTTGTTTGTTTGTTATTCATGCAAAAAGACCGGTAGATGCATAAACAGAGCTCTGGAAACTAACCAGGAATTGGGCTTGGATAGCGCTTAGCGCTTAAGTGAGTGACTGCCAGACTTCAGTCGTCATATGGCTTGCGGGGCTAAGTGGTTGTCAGAACAGCTACAATCGTTGTTGCGTTGTTGTACTTCTATGCCCCCTGTCAGCTCCCCATCCACACCAATGCGTGTTGACCAGCGTGGTGAAGTATGGTCAATTGAATTACCCTTCTCCCCAAAGTTGATTATTGAAAAAAATAATTGTATTTTATTTTTTATTGTATTTTATAAAAAATGAAATAAATTTCATAATTTTTTTTTTATATAAATAAAATACATATTTTTTTTATACCTTCGTGACTTTACCGAAAGAACCAAAGAGTATGCATCCCTGCACTCACGAAAACTTCAAATTTACGTGGGTTTGTAACTGAATTCCATGGCTTCATTTCCCACTCGATATTTCCTCTGCCACAGGGCTGGCTCGGAGTCGTGATCGTTAGCTGAAGGCACCCATCACTCAATGCATGACTGTCAACACGAATGCTGTGTTGCACCCTATACTACTTTACTCCTGAAATCGTGTCAACAGCTTTACGCAAATTTTTCGATTTAAAACTTTCGTGACTGCAGGTATTCATCTTCTTGGTTCTTACATGCTAATGTATGACTTTAACATCCTGCTAATTATCTCACATTAACACAGCTTATTCAATGCTAAAGTCTTCTGTTGATATGTAAACTCCTTTGTTAAGGCGCTCTCCTCCACCCACCCAGCTTAAAATACGCTGCCACGCTTAGCGGTGTTCATTGGAGCGCTGTCTTTCAGACAGCTCTGTCTTCACCTGAGGACGGCTGCTTGTGTTGTGGCCGAAACGTCGTGAGAATTTTATTATATTTTATTTTCATTATTGTATTATTTCCCTTCTACACGACTTTACCGAAAGAACCAAGAAAAAGCTTTCCGCAAATGAATGTTCAAAACATGGCGAGGTGAATTGCGAGGCGGTGTTCGAACATAAATCACAGCCATTCCGCACTGTTCCTGATCGAAGTTGAGCCAACTGCAAATCTCTCCATCTACAGCGGCTCAAGCCCCTCGTAAATCACGTGAAATCTGTGTGGCCACCCCCACTCTGAATCACCCTGCCCCCACCCCCTGTGAACGCAGACGCTTGCTCCTCCGTGCAGGTCACGTCTGCTAGCTCCTTCGTTATCTCCCCTTCTCTTCCCTTCCTTCTCTGCCTCCCTCTCTTGTTTACGATCAGAGGAAACAAGAGGATGCCCGGTGTAGTCGGAACTTTGCTTCGTTCATCATTTCGTTGTTTCAATGCTTTGCTTTGTCCCCCCCCCCCCCCCCCTTTTTTAAATGAAAGATTTCACAAAAGATGTCACGCTCTGCTCTCCTCCTTCTTACCCCTTCCCTCTCTCTCTACCCCCTCTCTCTACCCCTCTCTTTACCCCCCCCCCCTCTCTCTACCCCCTCTCTCTACCCCTCTCTTTACCCCCCCCCCCTCTCTACCCCCCTCTCTCTACCCCCCCTCTCTCTACCCCCTCTCTCCCTACTCCATGTCTATGTTCCCCCTGTTCATCGCTCTCTCTTTTTTTTACGATCAGAGGAAACAAGAAGATGATCGGTGTAGTCGGAACTTTGCTGCGTTCATCATTACGTTTTTTTTCCAATGCTTTGCTTTATGAGCCTCCCTCTCATCCCCAGGCCATTCCTGCTTGACACTTCTTCCTTCCTCCTTCCTTCTTCCTGCTGTTCAACTTGAGCCGTAGGCTCCACTTTGTTCTTCTTTGGGGACTTCCGTCCTGGCATCCCTTCTTCTTCCCAACTCATCTGCCCTTAAATGGCAATGGACTCTACCACTCGCCCTTTCCCATGGTGTGTCATGGATCAACAACGTTTTATAGAGCCTCTATACACGAGATGCACACGCCACTCGGACAAGCACCAGTCGAGACGGCTGCACGCACGGATCGAGAGTCACATAAACACAAACGTTTGTGGTGTTTTTGTCCCATGGTTTTGGGTTGGATACAGCTCACATCGACATTTTATGAATTTAGCCACAATTCATCCATTCAAAGACCACACGAAATACACTTATTTTCAGGTAGTACATGAATAGCTCAATGAATTTGACAGCAGAGAGTGTCAAGTGCAGTTCAGACGATGAGCTTTTGTCATCATTGTGTTGTCTATGTTGTACATAACGCATCGTTTTTAATAATTGTATTTGCTCTGCCATCACTTCTTCCTCATGAGTAACGCTAATTATCTCAAGTTACCACTTTGTTCCGATTTTTCGAGCTGTTCCGCATGTGATGTGACATTTCAATTAACAAATAATGATGGCAATAATGACGATCATACAGACATGGACACTCGCAGAGTGATACGCAGATACAGGAGAACTCCTCTTAGCGACGGTGATATGGGGACGACCAATATCACGGATCCTATTATCTGTGGGATTTATTGGCATTTTATTTCCTCCCTTAATCCGCCAGGTAATTTTTTTGCGACTAACCCCACGGATAACGGGATGAATTTTCCACGTGGAGACTTTTGTCCGTGAATTTTTATTGCAGATAATAAGATGCCGTTTTCGCAAAGACTTTTGGCAAAAGCCGTGGATAATCACAGATTATAGGAAGGGAGAGGGCCATGGGGTAATAGGAGTTTTTGGGTACCCTGCAGTTTCCTGGGATAATAGGAGATGCCTATAATGGTGTGGCAGATAAAAGGAGTTCTCGTGTACAGACGCAGGACGTGTTGAGAGAGATGCACACGGCTGAAAGGTGATCTGGACGTGCGCCCTCGACACGGCGGGGCGTGTGCGACTTGTCTGCACGCTTCGAAGCACAGGTCCAAGACTGCCACGGATGTTTACGTTTATTTGTTAAACGAATGACGCAGTTTAGCGAGTGGCCCGGCTATTTTACACAGGAGGTGCGTGAGCACAGCAGCAGCAGCAACAAAAGCAAAAGGCAAAAACATCCTTAAGGAATGTTGCCCAACGAACAAACAAGATATTAGCGGCCGGAAACGAAACGGACAAATCGAATGGTGCAAATGTGAGGTGTGCGAGAGGTGCCGGAAAAGGTTGGGTATAAGTGCGAGTAAGCTCCATGTTTTAGTCTAACAGTGAAAAACACATGCAAGTCGAAAAAGGCAGTGCAAAGATGTCAGAGCCAGATCCATGATAGCAAAAAAAGTTAGGTGCATGTGCAAGTAAGCTGTGTGTTTTGACGTGAGGCCATGTTTGACGCCTTTACCTCTCCTTTGGTGAAGTTGATCTCTCGCTGTTTTTATGCCGCTGTAAACCCTTGCTGTCTTCCCCCCCCCCCTCCTGCTCTCACCGTTCTCTGCAGCTCGCACCGCGTAGAAGCTTCACAGAGGAACGGGAGAAGCGGGTAGAATGGAGCCTCCCTCGGGTGAAATGTCAAGCCTGCAGCTGGCAGCCAGCAGTGGCCTGGGTGGCAGCCGCTTCCAAGTGAACGTGGTGGAGGAGGAGGCGGCCGCCGCCGCTGCCGCAGCCGCGGCCGCCGCCGCAGCGGCCGCGGACGGCGGGGGGCAGCCGGAGCGGGGATCGCAGGAGCCGCCGGGCACCCAGGAGGAAGCGCAGGAGGGAGCTCGCGAGGACGGGCCGGAGGAGCGAGGGGAGCAGCAGCAGAAGAAGCAGCCGCCGCACGGCAACCTGAGCGACCCGAGCCACAAGGAGGAGGGCGGCAAGGCCGGGCGCTTCCGCGTGAACTTCGTCAACAGCCGCTCGCGCAGCAACAGCAGCAGCAGCGGCGGCGGCGGCGGGGCCGGCGGGGAGACGTCGCGCAGCGAGGGCAGCTACCACGCGTACGACACGCACACCAACACCTATTACCTGCGCACGTTCGGCCACAACACCATCGACGCCGTGCCGCACATCGACTTCTACCGCAACGCCGGCTCGCACCTGGGCGACAAGCTGGTGCGGCCCACGCTCGCCGAGCTGCACGACGAGGTGAGGGGCGGTCGCGACGATGGGGGCGCCTGGCGCGTGCCACTTGAACTGGGGTACGGGGACCCGGAGCCGCTGGTGGCAGGGGCGACACAAGGCGACCGCGCGGGTTTCCACCTCTTCTGGGTATCCCAGGACCTGTCATTCTTTTTTGAGATACCAGGCTCTCTGGGTGGGAGCTGGGTGGCATCTGGCTTGCACGTGAGTATTTTGAGGGGTCCACCTCGGTCGTGTCTGGTGGGGGGGGGGGGGTATCTTGGTTGTGTCCGGAGGGGGTTTCCCGTGGGTAGTTCTGGCACTATTGGCAACCGGTTGGTACTGACGGCTGCTTAGGCGCTCCTCGTGTGGACTCTGGTGGTGGTGTTGGGATGCATGCCAATAATGGGAAGTTATAATTCCAACGTGGTAATGTTTGAGAGGGTGTTTTTTGTGCTTATTTGCGTAACCGAGTTCGCGTTTTACGACCGTCATGGAATTATTTCACCTTTTAACAAGACCACGCATTCTTCAAGCTCTTCATGCGGTGGATGTTCCCGTGGGCGTAAGAGTCTTGAGATGCCACTGAATTCCTGGGGCAATATCTCGCACGCGTGTGCCCAGAACGCGCGATTAAACGTGCGGCTTGCCCAGAACGCCTCCGGCGAACCGTGACGTTCCTTCCAGAGTCGCCGCCGGGCATGGGATGTTTGTGGGTTTTGTTGCGTTGGTGCAACTCGCGTGATACGACCGTGATTGATCCATTTCGTTCGGAACATTCCGCCGTCAGGCCGCGCGAATATCAACAACGAATTATCCAAACAGTGTCGCGGTGCAGTGCCGAGCCATAGCGTTTGGGGGGGGGGGGGGGCTGGAGGGGACTGAGCACTCTTTGACTGAAAATTCCGTCGCCCCGCCCCTCCCCTCCGCTTCTAAATACTTATCGTCGAGTCAAAGAATACTCGTTCCCACAGACTGACATGCTACCGAATCGTTTTTTTTTAATTGGCAAGCTTCATGTGGTGATTATGATGATACACAAACTGTCTGTAGTCGTTAGGGTGGGCGCCTGGATAAATTGCGCAAATGAGTCCATTTCGGCGATGGGTTTGGCCTTAACGCCCGCCACGTGTGTGCGAGTGACAGCGTTACAGGTGTTTTGTGTAGAGCACAGAGAGCGCCAGGTAATGCATTTCTAATAATAATCATACCTCTGTTTATCCAGGAAAGTCCAGATTACCCTTGGGGAAAGATCCACGTGCACATGAGAACATAAGACTCGTAGGTCCACACAGATGGGTTTGCAAAACCCACTTTGCTGTACTGCCTGGCCCCACCTCGCATTCCAGCGGACCTGGAGAGTTCTGTAAATCTGCACGACCCACCAAACTCCCGCTTGCCTCCGCACTCGGCCCGTGTGCGGGCAAGTCCACGCCGGTGGCACGGGGGAACCAGGCCGTGATTTGTGCGCGGTGCACTGCGGGTGCACGCCAGGGGCCTCTTCCCAATCCACAGTGGAGTCCGGGCAGGGTACGGCTCTGACACGGACTAATGACCAATCTTCCGTGATGTCGCGGTTGAACTGTGGAGTCCCCGAGCAATTTGTTCTTCCGTGCGAATTAGGAGAATAATCGATTGAAATGTCCGGAGAAATCCGTCCCCTGTGCTGTAACCGCGTCGGGGGGGGGGGGGGGCTGTCGTGAGCCGATTGCGATGCCCAAGGGATTTCTCACTCGCCGGTTATTTTTCCGGGTCACTAAATTCTGGGAGGTGGCACGTGACTAGCAGCCACAGCAATAACGTTGGGGGTATACTGGATGTGGTGTGCCGGATGGGGAGATGATTTTCTGGGTTGTCAACCCGGGCACACCTGGCTGAAATAGGAGTCCCTGGCAAGAGCTCTTCAAACACATGAGTATTTACGTTTTATCCTCGAAGCACAAATTGCCAATAAACTCGCACTGCACTCTCCTACCTCTCCCCTCCCACACGCTCCCCTACCTCTCATGTCTCCTTGCTCCATTCTATGCATTCTCCTACCTCGCCCACTCTTAGCTCGCATGCTGGGGGTTTTACTGGTAGGAACCTCCTGGTTACACCAGCCCACAGGGGATTATTGTGTCCGCCCGTCGTGCAGGGAGGGGCTGGGTGGGGAGGGATGGGCTGGGTGGGGAGGGGCTGGGTGGGGCTGGGTGGGGAGGGTGGGTGGGGAGGGTGGGGAGGGTGGGGCTGGGTGGGGAGGGTGGGGCTGGGTGGGGAGGGTCGGCTGGTTGGGGAGGGTGGGGCTGGGTGGGGCTGGGTGGGGAGGGTGGGGCTGGGTGGGGAGGGTGGGGCTGGGTGGGGAGGGTGGGGCTGGGTGGGGGGGGGGGGGCTGGGTGGGGAGGGTGGGGCAGGGTGGGGAGGGTGGGGCTGGGTGGGGAGGGTGGGGCTGGGTGGGGAGTGGCTGGTCACCCATGGTGCCCTTATAAAACTCAATGTTTAACCTACTCACGCCGGCTTGTGCCCACCCACAGTCAGCCATATTTGCGGAATACACCACGTCGCCGTTGACCCTGGCCATTGACCGAGTAACCCAACGTTCCTACCAGCTCCCTCCGCAGGAATGTGTACCTGTCCCACGCGATGTCCTGGTGGAGCCACCAATGCAAGATCAATGTGATTGGCCGGTGATGCGCCCTGTGTCAGCATTGCAACCACTCCTAAAAGTGCTGTAAAACATTAATTAAAAGCTATAAAAGTTATCATTAGCCCGCTTTTGTATTGACTAATCTAAATAGGTGTGCAACGGGCCGTATAACACAGGGATGGTGTTTCGTGAAGACAAACTAACGGTGACATTGGCAACAGGTGGCACGGGATTGCAGGTTGGGAAACGCTCCTGCTGCTGCTGCTCTGAGGATGTGGCCTTGTGCAACCTAAGAAGCCAAGTATCATCTCTTGATGACGAATATTATTTGGTGCGCTGCTGCTGCTGTGTTGGCAGTGGTGCACAAGCACAGTTAACAAAATCATACTCGCTACATTGGTGAATAACAACCACTGCGCGTTGTGGCCTTCGCGTGAAAAAATGTATAATGGGTGACGACGTTGCAGGGCTTTGGGTTTTTTGTCTCCACGTACCACAAGCACCGTTTACAACACTGGCTTTGTTGAACAAAAATTTAATGACCCAGTTTTTTTTTTTTAATCGGCATGCGAATCGTTGTCTTCGATATTGAAGGCTCCCCACGTAGGGGTGCCATCAGTCTTGAGTGTGAACCTGGTACAGTCTGCGAATTGGCATCTGTGTTCGGGTGGCAGGAATTTATTTGTATCCTAGACCTGGTTACCGGCATCGTGCTGAGCGTGATTGCAGTTTAGTGTGCAAAGGTTTGTGTAGCCCTCGGCTGGCTGCGTTTTGTTCTCGAGAACGAAAAGATGAAGACCCCCATAGCTGCATCGCTGCCCTGTGGAGAAGCATCTCCATTGAGCCAACCGCCAACGGGGAGGCTGCCAATTTTTTTCTCCCGTTGCACTTGGACGATCGCTAAACGTGTAAAGTGGCCGTGGTGGGCCCAGAGTCCCTGCCGAGATTTAGGTTTTTAAATCAGAGCAGCCAACGGTGTGATTCGATTAATTATTCTCAAGCTTAGCGAGCTGATGGTTTCTGACAGCTTGCAAATGGCCGCATGAAAAACTAATTAACAGAGTGAAACTTGTCTAAGTTCCATCGCCCAATGAAAAAATAATTTGGTTTGACCGTCACGTGACATTCACGTAGCAGAGTGTGTGGGGAAATTGTGCCCTCTCTTGTGTGGAGGATAGAAGGCAACTTGAAGCTGTTTGTAGGAGAGCGGCTGTGATGTTTGCTACCTCGCCTGGTATACAGGAGGTCTTGAGTTCAATCCCGACCCTGACGCCTGCTGTATATTTGGAGCTTGCATGTTCTCCCTGTGGTGGAGTAATCATTTTTTTTCTCTCCACATTTCGAAACATGTGTTTTAGAGTGTTTGGCTGCTATACATTTCCACGTGATAATAAGCCACTTCGTTGAGCCATTATTTGTGGCCAGGTCGCTTCTGAAAAAATAACTATATAGCTCAGTGGGGCTTTACCTGGTAAAACACAATCTATTTTAGTTTTAATTAATTAATTTGTTGTTGTAATTTGTTTGCCCTTGCTATACTTTACACTTGAATCGTTTTCGTTGTTTTATTTTTAGTTTTGGTAACTTTATGACCCGCCCCTACTGGGCATCTGTGATAAAGAGCTTAATAGCTCATCAGATTCCTCCAGGATGAATACTGATTCTGATTCCCGAACCACGGTCCGCTGCTGCTGTGCGAGATCTCTCAATGGATTCCTCCTTCGTCTTGTGACGCAGGGCATAACTTCGCGCGACCGCAATAACATTAGGAACAAAAAGACCGCAGATATTTACTCTGCGCTATTGTTCATTCTCAAGTGTTGGGAGGTGTTCTGGGGTGATGCAGTGCATCTTAATTTGTGGAATGCATCGGACGGGTGAGTGACAGTTTAATTAAGTTATTTTCTTTTTATCGTGCCACGGCTTACCTGTTTCATAATGAAAATAGTCAAAATAGCTGTGGCCCTTTTTATCAAGCCTCTGCTGCGCGAAGACCTCCCAACACACGCATGTTTTTTTAATGGTGGTAGTTTGACTATACTTCACCATGCGGGGGCACTGCAAACGTTGGCGAAGGGGGCTGGGACGGGGCTGCAGGACCCGGTTCGGATTATAATCACTTGTCACCGATGTTCGCTGAACTCGGGTCGCCGGGTAGTAGCACCGTGTGCGAAACTGCAGGCGCCGCCACTCCGTAATGGCGTGCTGGAAATATTATATAGCGTGTTTTTTTTACAATGAGTCGCTGGTTGTTTTGCAGATGTAACGCTCCTGCCATAGGCACGTGTAATGTCCACTGCTAATGATTATGGGCCCCGTCTTGTGCTCATTTGCGCAGGGAGAGACCCCTTTGTGTTGCCACCCAGTGGGTGCTGGGAGCGTGAGCCCCTTGGCCAACTCG